AGGTCTCCTTCTGTTCCATGTAAAATTAGTGATTGTTTTTTCCATATCCTTAAAGAAGGTTGAGGGGATCTGGATTGGGATTGCATTGAATGTATAGATTGCTTTGGGTAAAACTGACATTTTCATAATGTTCAATCTTCCTATCCATGAGTATGGTATATTCTTCCATTTATGTAGATCTCTTACGGTTTCTTGAAGTAGTGTTTTGTAGTTTTCTTTGTACAGGTCTTGTGTCCCTAGTGAGATTTATTTCCAAGTATTTTATTTTTAGTAGCTATTGTAAATGATAGGAGCTCTGGTAGCATAGTGCCTAAGACACTTGACTGCTAACCAGAAGGCTGGCAGTTCAAACCCACCAGCCACTCCTCGGAAGGAAGGTTGGACAATCTACTTCTGTAGTGATACCGCCTCGGAATCCCAAGGAGGGGTTGCTATGAGTCAGGGCTGACTCGAAGACATTTAACAACAACAATAACAATTGTAAATGGTATTGATTTCCTTATTTCCTTTTCAGCAATCTCTTTGCTGGTGTAGAAGAATCCAACTGATTTTTTGGATATTGATCTTGTATCCCACCACTACGCTGCTAAATCTCTCAATTAGTTCCAGTAGTTTTTTACTTTGCTGAGTCTCTTGGGTTTTCTATGTATAGGATCATATCATCAGCAAATAGGGATAGTTTGACTTCTTCATTACCAATTTGGATGCCTTTAATTTCCCTTTCTTGCCTTACTGCTCTGGCTAGGACTTCCAGTACAATGTTGAATAGAAGTGGTGACAGAGGGCTTCCTTGTCTGGTTCCCATTCACAAGGGGAATGGTTTCAGTGTCTTTCCACTGAGAATAATGTTGGCTGTTGGTTTTGCATATATTCCCTTTATTATGTTGAGGAATCTCCGTTCTATTCCATTTTGCTGAGAGTTTTTATCAGGAATGGGTGTTGGATTATATCAAATAACTTTTCTGCATCTATTGATATGATCATGTGGTTCTTTTCCTTTACAACATGACTGTGATTCTTTATGAATGCCTACAGAAAAGTATCTCCAGCCCTAAGTCACCCTTTACCCGGAACTGAACTCATTCCTGTGACTTAACTCTCAGCCAAACGACAGATAGGCCTACGAGCTGAACACCTACCTACACCAGGGACACACACTCCTTAGAACAATCTATCATGAGAGATCAGAAAGGCAGCATTTGCACAAGGAGAAAGGTAGGGAGGTAAGAATGCAAAGGCAAGAAGGACACAGGGAAAGGGTGACCACACAGAGGAAATGGGAAGAGAGCTGTTACACTGTGAGGAACCAGTGTCACAAAACAAAACATGAATGAACTGCTGAATGTAAAATGAATCTGCTTTGTAAAATCTCACCCAAATCACAATAAGAAGCAACAAAAATTAATTTTTAAAAAAGAAAAGCATCTCTAGTGCAGTTTTAGTGTCTCCTAAGGTAATGGTCAAGGAGCTCCGGTAGCATAGTGGCTCAGGCACTTGACTGCTAACCAGAAGGCTGGCGGTTCAAACCCACCAGCCACTCCTTGGAAGGAAGATGGGGCAATCTACTTCCATAGTGATGTTGTTGTTGTTGTTGTTGTTATTTGCCATCGAGTCGGCCCCGACTCATAGCGACCCCTCCTTGG